TAAAAATGATAAACACTTTCAGCCTCATAATCTGAAAATTCTTGTTACCGTTTTCGCAGCATTGGTGTACTGAACACTGCCCATGCTCGCTGGCAAGAAGTCGTCCAGTTCGCCCTGAAACACATTAACTGCTAATATACAACAAGCTAAACATCCGAAGAAACTGCAATTCGCCTCACCAATACCGAAAATGCTCCATAAGCTTTCCTTTCAGTCAGGGGATAAATTCACGCACGTCGAAATGTCCAACTGACCGTACGCTTGTGCTGCTGTATGGGCACACGAATGGTGGCTGTACGGCGCTGCCCAGCGCACACAGTTATATTTATTGTTCCATTGACAAGGGAGGCACTCGAATATAATTTGTGTGGTGTACTTGTGCGCCAACAGCAATCCCTCACGTGCAAGTTTTTCAACGGCTTTTACTTCCGATGCTTGCAAATAAACTGACGGGGATTTCGACTTCCTCGCAAAAGACTATGTCGATTTACCACTGAAAACGACGAACGGGTAGTACTGAATGGACGCTGGCCAAGTCAAAATACTGACTTTCAGCATGAGGACCGTGCTGTTTACCACTGCACCATACCGGTAATGCTGGCAAAATCTCGATTAATGGATAGGAAGGTCCGGAAGTTTAAACGGGATTTTAGACGTTCAGCAACAAGTGAGTCCTTAAAACTTCGATTCATAGTTTAAACATTCTTCATTTATGGTACTGTACGAATCTTCGTGCAGAAATCAAAGGTTAGATTTCGGAGACAGCCTAAAAATTGTCCAGAAACTCTGTACATCCTCAAAACTTAGTTTTTAATTTTGCAGTCCAAGAAGGAACATATGTGTAGAAACACGATCTCGCCACAGTTCATGCAAACAAAACACAAAGGGCACTGCAAACTAAGGACAATGATGAAAAAAGACTACAGGTCTTGAATGAGGTAACAGACCTTTTTCGCAGCTTCGTCTCTGAAAGTCATTGCCAATTTCGTTGTTGCATTCCGTGCAGTGACGAAAACTAGAACCTGATGTCTTCCTCGCACAAAGTAATGCACTTTCTCGTAACAAATTTCGTCCAAATCACGCATCATCTGCGGACCCGTATTCGAAGGACTACGGACACCAATAAAACTGCAAATCTTTCGTTTCAATCAACAACAAAACCCCCTGACTACTGAATTGTCCATCTAAACTGTACGTTGCTTTGAATAGAATTCCAGGATTATGATAACATGTACGTCACTGTCATTCTGGTCGGATTCAACCAATGAAAGAAACTCTCCGAGAGGGATTTAATCGCGAAAACAGATAAAGTTGCTTTTTGTTTCTTTTTAACTAATCTTGCTCTTTTGCAGGTTAAATTCAAATCGAATTTGCAAACCCAGTGAAACCTTTTCTTAAGACCAGCTAAAGCACATAAAGTTAAACAAGATTTAAACTAACTTTATCCAACTAATGCGATCAAGGTTGAACAAGCCCAGTGCAGAAAGTCACTCCCTACGCGGGAACATGGCTCACGTCTCAATAATTAACTTTCCTGTTCCCTTGCCTGTTGTATTTCAAATGTCATTCCACTAGAA